AAATGATATCAGGTATATTAAAATAATAGAAAATCACAAATCTATATTACAAAATTTCATCGAAAATCTACTGTAAGTTGATCGTATCCTTCACAGAACACGATTATTTGTCACTGTAAAAACATATTTTCTAACGAAACTGCATACGACCTTACAAGAATATTCTTCCTCAGCTTCAGCTTCCGATGCGTTTCCCAAAATCTGGATTTTTTCTACTTCTTCGTGAATTTTTCATTTGTGAAAGGTGCGCCGTACAAGGTCTTTGACCTCGTTACGCTGATTCCCGATAGTTTCACTGTCTGGACCGAATGCACGCGGCTAGTCCGATGAGAAAGAACCTTAAGCACTCTTCTGGGTGGGTGCGTTGAACTTACCGTCGCATTCCGTATTGATTTCGGTGGCACTGCGCGACTGGAGCCAGACGTTACCTACGGCACGTGTCCGCGTAGGACAGACACGCCCAATCCGAACTTTCCATCGAACGAAATTGGGGATCCCATGGAGATAAGGTGTAGAAAAGAAAATAAGTCGATCTTCCCGTGGAAACTACATCAGACACTTTCACTGAAAACGGCCGATGACTAAAGCGTGGACATAATCGGTTAATCGTTATGCCGATGGCACAGCCGGAGCCTTACGCAAGGCCTCGAAGACCTTGAACGGGACCTTATTTGGTAAGCAAGGTCGAGGCTTTGCGGACCATTGGGTTTTCAGGCCGCCCACAATGCACCTCCACCTTACTTGGATTTAATTCTTCCTATTGCGGACTTACCACGATAACGAAGAAAGTAAATAGGGACACGTCGCTGTGATACCGGTTGAAATAGCGAAGGTTAATATTAACACATGACGCTACAAGATGGTGTTGTAAATCGTTTTACTTACTTTACGAATTGTAAATAGATTTCTGCTGCATCGCAGTTTTCATTTAGCATTAAAACGTGCGAGTGTTTTCTTATACGTAATCATTTCGAACGAGATCCATCGACGTTCGTATATCATCTGTATTTTTAATTAAACTTTTGTTTATTTTGTGTTAAACAAGTTCGATAATTTCAGAAATATGTATTGTCTTATAAATACCTTTAGTTACAGTTAAAGTGTACGTAGGTATTCAGTGCACGTAATTCGTATACATATATTCGTGTTATATTTTATACTAACTTGTCCAATTAAAAATCTGTTTTAATAAAATATTGAGTATCTCAATGAGTACTTAAAAATGTAAAAGAACGGCCAGTTTATGATGGATTGATACGTATGCATGAAGATGCTGCGTGCAATGTTACAGCTGGGCGCCGGCTTAATGTTTTGAGGTTAGGTTAGACTTGGACGAAGCAACCCATCTGTCCATCTGATACAATAATTGTGTGTATTTAAATTTCATATGAATACGAAGTACAATAATATTTAAAACGTGCAAACGATATAAACATCGTTGATTCCACACGGGAAGAAAAATGAAATTCAGAACAGAATTTGGCACGTCTTCATAAAGAAACAAGTGCACAATCCGATACGATTTCTTATTAGGCACAAATGATTCACTGATTATGTCATCGAGACACTATTTCGACAAAGGAGCGTGACAAGTGTATTTATAAAACTGTCCTGTTTTTCAACTGTATCTTTCGCAATATCCAAGTTTAATTTCTGAAACAATAATTAATATCTAATAATACAACACGTCATACAGATAATTTAAATAAAATATCGAACTTAAAATAACTATATCTATACATATCGATTATTTCTTCGGAAGGATTTAAAGAAAAAAGAAATGCTCATTATATATATAATAATTAAAAAATTATAATAACGTAAACTATTTCGTATACAATTTTAAATGGTTTTATGAACAGTGCATAACAAAATAAGTAAAGATATATTATCAGCCTGGTTGTAAATTAATTCCTTTATCGTTTTTATTTACAATTGATAAATATTAATTGAAAAATACTTTAGGAAAAACTAACGTAATGCAACCGAACGTACTTTGACGTTTTCATCACCACGTGGTTTCCGTTGACAAGCACGATCTACCATTGTAGACTGCATGAACACGCGTATCGATTTTGAAGCAGCACTGCACTCACACACACTACAATATCTTTCGTCGAACGAACACGTATGCAGAAAATAGGGCCGAAGCGTAGGGCTTATATGACGTGATAGTAGTCCAGTGCACCCTTATCCGCGCCCTTGAGTCTATTTTTAGCTTCTGTTTCATGAAAAAGGCGACCGAGATGACATATACAACACGCAATAAGTGGGTGGACAAATATCAGCTTTGATTATCTAGTCTAAATATATTCTATGATTTTTCAAAAATATATCGAATTTTAAAAATATTAATTGTTCTATTGTAAAACGAAATCTGGACAATGAGTATACATAAATACTAGGGTATGACCTACTGACTTTCTAAATCCATTTTGTGAATTATCTCTCTTCTGGCGCAATTTTTAAAAGTAGAAGAGTAGGTACTATTAAATCATAGATACAGGTCATTGATATGAATCACTGGCATTCATTAATATTAAAAGTGACGCACTAACTCAATTTCATAAGAATAACTCACCAATAACTTTCTATTGATGTAAGTTAGTTTTAAGATGTAAGTTCCCTTTGATTATATTACAAAAATGGAATGTACAACCAAATTTTACGGGAAAAGGTAAAATTTATTTATTTTTTCTACATTTGAGAGTCCAATATTGTCAAATATACCATTTGGCCTATCTGAGGAATACATCCACTGAAGGAGTGGTATAATGCTTGAAATCGTTTATACAATAATAATTATACAAAATGTAACATAAGTGTATTGTGTTTATGGGATCATAATTTTAATGTCAATATACTTATTAATGAAAAAAAAGTCATTTACTAACAACTTTACAAAGCAATAAAGTATTAAGTTGTATTATATCATAAAGGAGTATTAATTTTTTCTACATGAAAAAACAAATACAAATATTTAATAATATATTAATTATTTGATTACACTTCATAATTTTTTAAGTAGGAATTTTCATTAAAGATTGCTGATGAGTAAAGAATCATTAAATCTCAATGACAAGTGTTTCTGCTTCCATTAAGTAAAGGAAAATGTTGACCATTCCAAAGTATATAACAAAACTTTTTCTGACTCATACCTACTGCCGGTACTGGTCGCAAGCACACACACACAAAGAACGTGGTAATCTTCGCATACATTGATATGTTCACTACTACAACAACTCTGACGGTTAGTCAGGAAAGCCCTCACGCTAGTGTACGCTTCCAGAAGGCATTATGCTCCCCGTATCGTACAGTTTGAAGCGGCATTTGGAGAATCTAGCCGGCAGCCGGCCAACGGACCAATCAGCGAGCCGCTTTCGTTTTATGCCCATATATGGCAAGAGCTGTGAATCCAAGTAGTGGGGGAAGCCGGCTGGACGAATCCATTCTGAAACAGGGGTGTACCCGTACAATGATATTGAAAAATATAACTTTAAAATAAAGAAATGATCATAGAATTTTTAATCTTTCAGATTTTTATCATTCCACGTGTCATATGTTGTACATAAATTTGAAAAATAAGGTCAAAACGTAGGAAATATATCAGGTAATTTAGACATTTATAACATATACACCGACCACACCTTTGGGCGAGTCCACATAACACGGTACCGGCCACGATCTTGCTCACAGTGTTCGCAACTCGCGGCTCTCGAGTCTCGCTTCGTCGTGCCGATAGTATTCTTGCGGTGCCTCTTTGCCGATCAACGATCGACTACTTTGTTGGTTACCTTCTGTTCTAAAAGGTAAGTACTGTACCATTTAACATGTTATATTCAAGTCTGATATTAATTTAATACGTTCCGCGGAAATCTGTCATAATTTTAACGATAAAAAGATCGAGGACAAACGCCGGTTCATGAGCAGCCATGATGGCAGGGCGTTGCTCTCTTCGTTTCTGACTTTTATCGACATAGCGTCTCTTTGTTCGAAGGATTCATTTCTGTTAGCTTTATCGTAAAAAGGGAAAATGTACCGGGACAATCCGACAGGTTGTCGTTGTCAAGTGGTTCCTGACGTATACGCACTGCAGGGCAGGTGGTCGCGACGTGGTCGTTTATTAATAGCAGTAGTCTGTAGTTGCGGTGTTACAGCACTAACCTGCGATTATGCTTGCTTGTACCACGAAATACCAACATAAATCTGTCATCAGTTAAGAAATTAGAACGCCAAGCGTAGACATTGCAATAATACATTTTCTGTATAATACTTTAGATTTGAATATTTCTATTTATGACTGTTTAGAAGTAATAGTAGTTATAAAACGTGCGTATAAAGTTCAGTATTTCGTACCCGAATTAATCAATGAAGTAAAAGCTATTTAAAATTGTTTTATATAATTTATACTTTATGAAATGTAAGAAAATTACTTAAATATGTAGCCATTATGAGTTAATTAAAATATTGGATATTCTTAAAAAGATCTATTTATAAAATAAAACCGAATGTGTAAAAATTTTTCTGTAGAACATTTATGTAAATTTTTTAAAATTTCATTAATACGATAACTTTATATTTAACAAGAGTCAAATGAACGTATCGAAATGACATTAGGAAAAATGCGAAAATTATTATTTATCATTTGGCTATATAAAGAAATCAACTGACATTGAATATGATCGAAACAGAACTTACGTAGCGTTAGGAGAGTGGGGGGAAGCATTGGCAAGATCGGAGATGTGCGGTTCGGTCAATTTGGTGGATGCATTCACGAAGGGTGGTGAGACACACTTCAAATGATCGGAGAAGGGCATAGGAGGGAAGGAGGGGGTAAACCCCTCCGTGGCAGAGCACTTCCATATATGGTAAAGAAAGCCAGGATTGGCTGAGGGTGTCCTGCCCTTATTGGCCGATTGCTCGGTAGTGGGGGCCCCGAACAACGACTCTGTTCATATAATACACTGCAAGCCGGCTGTCAGCTACACTCTGTGTTTGGTGCTAGATCGGTCGGTTGTGCGGCAGTGTCACATCCAACGACCCGAGCTCCTAACTTGTACATAACTTTTTTTTATACAAAACGAAAAACGTAAGTCACATTCTATGTTCAGTGATAGTCGCTAATATTCTACAAATCAGTTAAAACAAAATTTAAATCACAGTGCAATCAATTAGAGATAGTGTGTGGGCGATAGTTGATCAGCGAATTAGTTGTACATCCAAACGTGGATTTCCAAATTAAGAAGTGGGTGGTGTTAGGTTTGAGATATGCTTGTGTCATATCTAGTGTGTTTTGTGTTGCATCTTTCCAATTGCAATACGATAGTGTCCGTTTGTTGTAAAATTTGTTACGAGTATCTGCATCGATGATACTTTTTATGTGAACCAGAACGAAATTCTTTCTGCTAGAAGATACCGGTCTTTGTAATATTAAAGTATATTAAAAGTACTACTTACAAAGTTGTAATGTATCGAAGTAAGAATATATATCATTTTGCTAAAATTGAATTATCTGGTTGCATTCGATGATGGTAGTATTGTAAAGAATTATCCTTCGAAAACATGTCGGATATTGACCGTTTAATGCCGGGGAAGGGCGGGGCAGGGTGCGGTTCCAGTTAACGGCGGTTTACAGAGTACCTAAAGATTTTTTATATTATTTATTTTTTTCAAAGATGTATTTCTTAATGTGAAAAAATACAAAATGCAGAGTTTATTTATTTTTACGATCGTTAAATGTTCCATTTGCAATATTTGATTTTTGCTATCTAGAAAGTATAACGCTACGTGTCTTTGGACGCCATCTTGAAAATATTTGAAATATTGCTTCACAGCACATGGTATTTTGTAATTGACTACTTCGGTTATACGGTAACGTAAATATTTTCGCGATATGTTTTATGCATGTTTTAATTTTGATTAAGTACGTAAAACGAAATTACGTAATAATTTAATTTTATATATTCATGAAAGTTATATTAATATTATGGAAACTATATTTAAGTACGTTTATTCGCATGAATAATTAATTAATAGGAGGTCAAATAATCTTAACTGTACGTAATAGTATCTGTTACAGAAAGCAATGTCTCACAATTGGAGTAAAAGTAAAAAAATTATAGAATTATAAATCAAACAGAGAAAAAATGCAAAAGCAATGGTATAAATTGTACAGTCGTGAGAGATATTAAATAAGTTACTAAAAAAATTATATTAATTATAATTTTGAATCCAATAATTGAATTGATAAATGCTGTAATTAATTATTACACAATGTATCCTGTACCAAGATAATCAAATCTTAATATTTTTGTTACTTTTACAGATAAACCAATAAACCAAACATGTGTGACGAAGAAGTTGCTGCACTCGTAGTTGACAATGGCTCCGGTATGTGCAAGGCCGGTTTCGCCGGAGACGACGCTCCTCGCGCTGTCTTTCCATCTATCGTCGGAAGACCACGCCACCAGGGTGTCATGGTTGGTATGGGACAGAAGGATTCCTATGTTGGTGACGAAGCCCAATCAAAAAGAGGTATTCTTACCTTGAAATATCCAATTGAGCACGGTATTGTCACCAACTGGGATGATATGGAGAAGATCTGGCATCACACGTTCTATAATGAACTTCGAGTGGCCCCTGAAGAACATCCCGTACTTCTCACTGAGGCACCTCTCAATCCGAAGGCCAACCGTGAAAAGATGACACAGATTATGTTTGAAACATTTAACACCCCCGCGATGTATGTCGCTATTCAGGCTGTACTTTCGCTGTATGCTTCTGGACGTACTACCGGTATTGTATTAGATTCAGGTGACGGTGTCTCACACACCGTACCAATCTATGAAGGATACGCTTTGCCTCATGCTATTCTCCGTTTGGACTTGGCTGGCCGTGATCTGACTGACTACCTCATGAAGATCCTCACCGAAAGGGGATACTCCTTTACTACCACGGCTGAACGTGAAATTGTTCGTGACATCAAGGAAAAACTCTGTTACGTTGCCCTCGACTTCGAGCAGGAAATGGCAACTGCTGCGTCATCCTCTAGCTTGGAAAAGAGCTATGAACTTCCAGACGGTCAAGTAATTACCATTGGTAACGAAAGATTCCGTTGTCCTGAAGCTCTCTTCCAGCCATCCTTCTTGGGTATGGAAGCCTGTGGTATCCACGAGACAACATACAACTCAATCATGAAGTGCGATGTCGACATCCGTAAAGATTTGTATGCCAACACTGTCCTTTCTGGAGGTACTACCATGTATCCTGGAATTGCCGACAGAATGCAAAAGGAAATCACTGCCCTAGCACCATCTACTATGAAAATCAAGATCATCGCACCACCTGAGAGGAAATACTCCGTATGGATCGGTGGATCGATTCTTGCATCTTTGTCTACCTTCCAGCAAATGTGGATTTCTAAACAAGAATACGACGAGTCTGGACCATCTATTGTCCACAGGAAGTGCTTCTAAGCACATCTTTGATATTCTTGCATACTATCATTCCCCGAATCCCGAGAGCGGCCTCTGTCTCGTTTCGCAGGCGGACGTAACATCAACTTCCGCAATAGTAATTGTCCTTTGGTTCCTCCGGGGCGAAGGTAGCTTCTTTCGATTCGGATGTACGTGGGACATAATTAGCGCAGAGGCAATCCTAAACATCTTTGCTCCATTCATTTTTCATCATTTAATTAGACACTATTGTATCTTAAACGTACCCCCCGAATTCCTAAATACCCTCCTATCCTATCGAATCCTTTGTATTATATATTCAAATAACATTGCCTATGGTAGCATCTAGCTAACCACCCTCACGAAAAACATCTTTCTTATTGTCATCGCGATATTTCATTCTACAATCGAAATAATAACTTGTTTTTTTCTTTTTCGAACATGCTATATATTTGCCAATTTTTAATATTCGCCAGTTTGAGCTGAAGGAAACTTATGTAAATTATTTCGGAATATCGTTCGATGCAGGATGGAGCCGTTATTGTGCGTATCCTTAATGCACGAGAGATCTTTTAATTTGGTTATCCTCCAATTAAATGCATTCCGCTACTTTGCTCCGCGGTATTTAACATTTGTGTCGGTCTTTTGAGAATTTATCATTCCCAGCGGAGATAAGCCTTCGACTTATTAATCATTTTTTACTGTTACCAATCGTTGAGGGAAAAGATGGCTCTTTCCTTTCTTTTTTTTTAAATAATGGGGGAGACCGCTGACCCAGAAAAGTATCCCACAAACGCTCGCTCAAACGAATAAAAAAAACACGGTTTCGACCCCGCAAGCGTAGCCAAAGTATTATAATTTATTCCCATTGTATTGTGCAAGACCATTCACGTACACATCTTAAAGACTACTTTAGACTTATGGGATTATAAAATAAAACTCTTAAAAACATTATTGCTTTGACTTTTGTGTTTTTTAAGATTGCAGTTATCCAATGCCCTTTACTGGATATTGTGTCCTTGATCTCCAATCCAGTACATTGTAGTTAATCTGAGCTAAAAAAAATTGATCATCACTAGTTTCATTTAGCATGAATTCATGTAGTTTTATACACAACGTAGCTTTTGTACCGTTTGGCGTTATTCATTATTGTAACGTATATTTGTGGTAAAAATTTATATTATTCTAAGAATTAGGTTTATATTTTCAGTCGAATAAAAATTATTTTCAATGAAGTGGTATCTATTACTCCTTTTTGTAAAAATGCCATCATTTAGAGTCTTTGAATTTTACTTAAAATTTAATCGTTAGTGGCATTTTACTAATATGTTGTATTTATGTATTTGATAATACTGCTTTATTAAATATTCGATTCAACCTCCAGCTAAGAAGAAAAGAGTGATTTTATTTACAAAATAAGCTTAGATTAATGATTTTTAATGCTTATGTATCAATTTTTAATAAAATTGCTATATTGAATTTGACTGACAAACCTTTGTTAATTTAAAAAAGTTATACAAATTTGAATTTACATAAAAATTGTATTAGTATCAAAGTATAATATATATATTATAAGAACGGAAAAAGTGCATGTTATCATTATGTTTAACATGATTTAAATTGTTTTTATCAGAGATCATGTTTAAATTTTAATGAGATGGCAGCACAATGCGTTCGGCTCATGAAATCAACTACGGCGCATGTTATCAAACGGAAGAATATATTTGATATAAATTTAAATTTAAATTTTGGTCGTTATATTTTTGCATGATAAATATATAATTCTGAAATCTTATCGTTTCACAACAAATAAATAAAATGTATAGTAAAATCGCATTTAAATAATGAGATGAAGAAAACAGATTACAGATTAAAGAAAGAAAAAGTATAAAGGGACTTCGTGTTAAGATTTTGTACGGTCTTAGCGCAGTTGCTCTTCAATCATCACTGGAAAAGTACAAAGCGATAGTTAGTTCAGTGACACATGACAACAATACAGATCATCGCGAACCGACTGATTCGTTTTAATTTGTAACTTGAATCAAAATGTCCGATCAAAATTCTAGTGATCAATATTCGACATGGGTAAGTTTATAATTTTGTTATGACTATTCCAATTTTGACATATGCTGTCACATAACCTTCAACTATAAACAAACTTTTTTCTTAGCTATTTTATAATTTATTATTATTGTAGGACTTCTTGTATATTTATATATGTATAACATTTTGTTACTAATATATTTTTCAGGTTGGTCTTATATACATTTTTAATCTAATTGTTGGAACAGGAGCTTTAACATTACCCGCTGTTTTTAGTCGAGCAGGATGGGCTCTCGGATTAAGTATTATTTTAATATTAGCCTTTATAAGGTATACTAGAAAACTCTGCATATTTTAATTAACCATTTTCGAAATTTAATTACTCGTTATTTTATTTTTATAGTTTTATCACGGTTACATTTGTGATCGAGGTAATGGCATCTGCCAATGCTATATTAGCATGGGAACATATTCAACATCGAAAACGTGTATGTTTTTCTCAAGATTCATCTTTCAACGAATCAGAATCTGAGGTTTTTAGATTTTTTCTATATTGTATTCTTTATAATTATTTTTATAATTTTATGACTAATCCTATGTCTAATAGTATTGTATTTATTTCATAATATAAGATGTATTTCTTTGTTTTGACATTCATTATAAATAAAGTAGGTTATATTTCATGATATATTTTAATTTTAGGTACTTCAGACTTTAGATGAATCTGGTCCTTCAAATTCAGACTCTGAAGACACTCCTCTTGTTACACCATTTTCATCTAGTCCTGATCATAGAGATATAACATGTCGATATTATGTAATACGTTATGAAATAGAAATGGGACAAATGGCATCAATTTTTTTTAATAAGTTTGGCACAACTCTGTTCTATTTATGTTTTACTATATATCTTTATGGTGATCTAAGCATATATGCAGCTGCTGTAACAAAAACGTTAGTTGATGTTGTTTGTACTTATCAACCAGCAAATTTTACATGTAATGATACAATAGCAGATACTGAAATTTGTTGGAAAGAATTTGCTCTGAATCGATCAGATGCATATAGGGTATTTCTTGTATGTACAAACAGAAATACTAATATTTATTTCAATAATTATTGCTTTTCTATTCAATAATGATAAATATTATTTTTAGATTACATTCCTGC